CTCACCATGGAGTTATTAATAGAACTAAATGGGTTTACAGTATTTGGAATATGCTAAGAGTTCACTTTTTTTTACACATAACTTATTAGCAGGTACCCACATTGTCATTTAACTTGGACAGATCTGTATGTCAATTTCTGGACATTAATTTCCAAGTTTAATGCCTTATATATCATCTGCATTATCCAATGTTAGACAGTAAGTAAGTGTATCTTCTTTCTTCCTGTACCTCTAAAATATTATTTTACCTTTAGCTGATTAATCTTCAGCTGCTTCTTGTCAATGACTATTCTCCAAAAAAGCTAATAATGTCTGACTGTAATCAGCGTTATGTGCCAAACTTTAAATGCTTCCTTGTGCATTTGCCACATTTCTGACCACGAGGAACACTTCATGATTTAAAAGCATCTCAAGCCTTCCATTTAGAAGATGATCTCATCTCAAGTATTATTAGACTGCCATCATTTACATTGCCTGTTAAGTTAGGAAGGTTTTTTTTTAATTTTTAAAGAATTCTTTATTTTCCTTTATTATTATTATTATTATTACTATTTTAGTTGTGCTATAGAGCTTATGCACTCACCAGAGAGAGAGAAAATGAGAAGGCAAGCCAGCAGGTCCAGGACTCAAACCATGGTTGGCCATGTGGGAGCCCAGCACCTCAACCACCCTGCCACCTGCTGACCCCAGAAAGTAGGGGTTTCTAACTTCTGAATATTCCTGCCCTTACAAAATGAAAAAGAGTTTTTTGTGATCCACTGGGGTTTTGTTTGTTTTTATTATTTATTTGGTTTTTTTTTTTGGTTTTGGTTTTGGGGTTTTTTTTGTTTGTTTGTTTGTTTTTTAGCGTTCTTTTACTTATTCATCGTCATTACTTTTATAAAGGAAAAATAATCTTTAGCATATCTGATTTGAAACCCAGATCTGCCATTTATAAGCTCAGTGACCTTCAGCAAGTTACTGAACCTCTTTATGCCTCAGTTTCTTCATCTATAAAATTATAATAGTCCCCTCACCATGGAGTTATTAATAGAACTAAATGGGTTTACAGTATTTGGAATATGCTAAGAGTTCACTTTTTTTTACACATAACTTATTAGCAGGTACCCACATTGTCATTTAACTTGGACAGATCTGTATGTCAATTTCTGGACATTAATTTCCAAGTTTAATGCCTTATATATCATCTGCATTATCCAATGTTAGACAGTAAGTAAGTGTATCTTCTTTCTTCCTGTACCTCTAAAATATTATTTTACCTTTAGCTGATTAATCTTCAGCTGCTTCTTGTCAATGACTATTCTCCAAAAAAGCTAATAATGTCTGACTGTAATCAGCGTTATGTGCCAAACTTTAAATGCTTCCTTGTGCATTTGCCACATTTCTGACCACGAGGAACACTTCATGATTTAAAAGCATCTCAAGCCTTCCATTTAGAAGATGATCTCATCTCAAGTATTATTAGACTGCCATCATTTACATTGCCTGTTAAGTTAGGAAGGTTTTTTTTTAATTTTTAAAGAATTCTTTATTTTCCTTTATTATTATTATTATTATTACTATTTTAGTTGTGCTATAGAGCTTATGCACTCACCAGAGAGAGAGAAAATGAGAAGGCAAGCCAGCAGGTCCAGGACTCAAACCATGGTTGGCCATGTGGGAGCCCAGCACCTCAACCACCCTGCCACCTGCTGACCCCAGAAAGTAGGGGTTTCTAACTTCTGAATATTCCTGCCCTTACAAAATGAAAAAGAGTTTTTTGTGATCCACTGGGGTTTTGTTTGTTTTTATTATTTATTTGGTTTTTTTTTTTGGTTTTGGTTTTGGGGTTTTTTTTGTTTGTTTGTTTGTTTTTTTAGTTTTGTTGTAGGTTATGTGCTTGAGAGAGATAGACAGAGAAAGAAAATGACTAGTAACTCCTGAGGGGATGGCCACACCACACTGCAATCCCTTCTCCACCACTCTTCTCTCAGGATTCTGAGCATGCACCCACATGCTGCTTCTTGTCAATGACTATTCTCCAAAAAAGCTAATAATGTCTGACTGTAATCAGCGTTATGTGCCAAACTTTAAATGCTTCCTTGTGCATTTGCCACATTTCTGACCACGAGGAACACTTCATGATTTAAAAGCATCTCAAGCCTTCCATTTAGAAGATGATCTCATCTCAAGTATTATTAGACTGCCATCATTTACATTGCCTGTTAAGTTAGGAAGGTTTTTTTTTAATTTTTAAAGAATTCTTTATTTTCCTTTATTATTATTATTATTATTACTATTTTAGTTGTGCTATAGAGCTTATGCACTCACCAGAGAGAGAGAAAATGAGAAGGCAAGCCAGCAGGTCCAGGACTCAAAACATGGTTGGCCATGTGGGAGCCCAGCACCTCAACCACCCTGCCACCTGCTGACCCCAGAAAGTAGGGGTTTCTAACTTCTGAATATTCCTGCCCTTACAAAATGAAAAAGAGTTTTTTGTGATCCACTGGGGTTTTGTTTGTTTTTATTATTTATTTGGTTTTTTTTTTTGGTTTTGGTTTTGGGGTTTTTTTTGTTTGTTTGTTTGTTTTTTTAGTTTTGTTGTAGGTTATGTGCTTGAGAGAGATAGACAGAGAAAGAAAATGACTAGTAACTCCTGAGGGGATGGCCACACCACACTGCAATCCCTTCTCCACCACTCTTCTCTCAGGATTCTGAGCATGCACCCACATGCTGCTTCTTGTCAATGACTATTCTCCAAAAAAGCTAATAATGTCTGACTGTAATCAGCGTTATGTGCCAAACTTTAAATGCTTCCTTGTGCATTTGCCACATTTCTGACCACGAGGAACACTTCATGATTTAAAAGCAGTGTGTCTTTTCAAGCTGGGTTGGGGACTTGAACCACAAAGTTGGTCATATGAGATATAGTGCCTCAACCTCCACACCACATGCTGGCCCATGATGTACTTTTCAATTTGCTCTGTTTTGTTTTTACATTGGATTCTGTCAACTGATTTTATGTGAAAATCAACAGGAAGAGGAAAAAATGAGCCATTATATGTCAGGCTGTAGGCAGGGAGGGCAATTCACAGATAATTACTTTATAGACTCATGGTAAATACCAAGTGTGTGGCAGTGCTAGTCTCAGTAATTCTACTCCAAGACCCCTAGAACTGAGAATCAGCTTAGATGGCCAGGCAAGTAATTCCATTTCTTCCTTTCTCCGCCAATAGTTTCTCTCAAGATTACTAAAAGAAGTTAGATTACAGCTCTATATTTTTCTAAAGTCATTCTACAATCATGACAACAATGACAATATCTAGCATTCGTTTAGTGCCTTGTCTAGCTCAAGCATTGTGATAGCAGTTTTTCTATTGCTCTGTGACTCAATATTGAGGAAAATGTTCAGATTCCTAGAAACATCGTTCGATTTTGGGTTGAGGCTGCACAACTTGGAAATTACTAAATTTGTTATATCCTAAGCAAATCATTGTAGTAAACAAAAAAGGTCTTCATTATTTGGGATCATCTAATCAAATATAGCAAAACCAGCTCTTAGGATGTTTCCTATCAAAAAATGCAATTCAATTAAAAAAAATTAAACCAAAGTTTGCAAAGAAAATTCTGAAGTATTTTTTAGACTACATAAACGAAGGCAGAATTTGGTGTGGTCCAACATCAGTTTTTACTCTGGCCTTTGCTAGATTCCTTTGTTCTCTTTCAGATAAGCCAATTAAGCCATTGAGGTTTCTTTCTGCAATTCTAATCAAACAAAATCCACTACATGAAGAAGTTACCTGGGGAGTGCAAAACAGGAGGATAAAACACTCTAAAAATATTATTATAATCATTGTCTATATTTGGCTAGTTTATGCTACTGTCTCTGTGCTAGGTTCTCACCTATAAATAACAATTCAGTATAGTTCTGATTGAAGCCTCTTTGTTTTTAATTACTAAGTTAATAAGGTGCCTAACTCCATTCTTTCCCAGTGAAAGCTCATCAAGAGTAATGTAATAGAAAATCAACACTGACAGGAGCACATGTGTTATAAAACACAAGAAGTGGAATGAATCTCAGCCTAGAAATGTCCTTTCAACCCAAAAGTTTTTAAATTTAAGATATAGCATAGGAAAGTTGAAAAGAAGATGCTAGGTGGCCTTTTCACTCACCAGGATTCAAAATAACCATTCAAACATGAGAAAATCTTACCAAGGATATTTTTCACCTATATTTATATCAAAGCAATAAAGGGGTTATTTTATCCTGCACAAAAGGATGACTTATGAATTCATCTATAAAACCCGAGAAGGCATTAACTAAACCTATAAATATTCACAAATTAAAATGTCACATTGATTCATTCATTGTTGGCAAGCTCCTTCCAATCATAAATTCTATTTTTAAAAAATTCACTTTTTAGTTTGGACTAAAATCTCCTTCACTTCAGTGATAGTACCTGATGTTTTCTCACTGTTATCATGTGATACTTTCTGCCTGAAAGAAAACTCATTTTAAAAGTTACCTTGTGTAACTATTCTCCTTGAAAACTATACCATCAGGAACTGCCTTACATATTTATTTTAACCAGCTTTTAAAAACGGCAAACATCCCATTTTTATTATGGTAGAAAATGAAGAAAAAGACTCTTTAAAGTTATTTCAGCTTAAAGCATAACTCCACTTGTCATTACTATTGAATTAACATGAAGCATCATCTCCCGAAAGCTCTAATCCAATGTTGAACATACCACACACAATATTACTATTACTGGTAAGTACTGATAATGCTATATAATCTGAATACCCGTCTTGGTATTTTCCTAGTTCAATACTTTTAATGTTTTTTTTTCCTCCAAGCATGGATTGCTAGAGCTTGAAGGGACTCCAGAACTCATCTGTTATAATCTGACCACTCCGTACACCCCCTCATTAATCTGTTTTAAAACACCTCACACACAGTCTCACACACAATGCGAAGCTACTCAGAAATAAACCTAAAGTTTGCATTTCAACTTTACCTTTGTAAAATCCCCAGTGAATTTCCAACAGCGTTCTTCACTCCTTCTTTCCCAGGTTTCAAAATTTTTTCTTTGAAGGTATCAAATGCTTTGAAAGGCATTTTGAATGTGTGGAGGGGGCGGGTGCCTTGCAGCCTTTAACAATCAGTATCAGAAATTGTCATCCTTTCTATTTCCAGCATGAGGACCACTCTGTTTCCCTGATGAACACCTGGAAATCAGTTCTCATGGGGGTAACTGCTAAAAATCAAAAAGGAGATGAAACCAAGAATAAGACAAGTCCTTCCTCTCCCCCTCAAAAAGAAAAGAGAGAGAGACAGAGGGAGAGGCACCAAGAGTTGTCTTGCCTGGTTGGGAATTCAGTCCTTGCAAAAGCTACCAGCTCAGCAGCAGCCTGTGGCCGCTGTCTCAGGCAGCCACTCTCAGACTGAGCGCAGCCTCTCTCCCTCCTGGGCTGCAGCTGGAGAAGTGAAGTGGGCTCCAGCCCCCAGGAGTCCCCAGACCAGCAGCAGCATCTGTAGTCTCGCTATAGCCCCTTCCGCCACTGCCCACCACATCCCCCTGGTGCCCCACCCCAGCACGTGGCTCTCGCCGAGGGATCCCGTCCAAGATGATGCTATAGTAACTAGCACAATACCTGCCCGTATTAATGGGCTCTCAGCCAGAGCAGGCACCCAGAGTGAGGTTTATGAAACATTTACAAGTCCTCTGCTTTTCTGAGGTCTGGCTCTACAGACAGGCTCTCAGCCACCATGCCATGTCTTCCTTCTCCTCATCTGAGGCAGTCAGTAGCATGGATGTGGTCCCTTGGAGGAACACTTGCACTGGACTAGGCTAAATGCAAAGTCCAGGCCACAAACATCTATGAGGGTATTTATTTGCTTCTGACCAAGGGAGCAGACTCATTCCAAGTATGGTATGTAGATGCCACTGAGACCTTCTATAGGAGACATCTGAGCCGCCCTGGAACCTAGAACTCTCCGCTGGCTCCTCATTGTTCTCAGACAAAAAATAAAAAATTCTTTATCATGGCACTGGAGGCACCCTCCAGGGGATCCCAGCCTTGTTCCTTGTCACTTTGATTTCCAGTCAGCATTTCTTTGAACTCTGCAGGCTTCCTAGTGCTCTGGGTTTACTCAAGCTGTACTCCCTACCTGGGTAATTCTTGAGATTTTTTTTTTTAATACCAGAGGGTGTGTACACTTAGAATGTACCCCTCAAGGGCCTGTTCATGCTGCAATCCCTCCTCCCATCCTCCATCCCATCAGGATCCTGGGTATGCCTGTGCACCTGACATGTTTTTTTAAAAAAAATTTTTAGAAAGATTTTTGCTATAGGGCACGTGCACTCACCGGAGAGACAGAGACAGAAAGTGAGAAACCACCTCCCAGGGGGGATGACCACACTGTAATCCCTTCTCCTCCATTCTCCTCTTGGGATTTTGGGCACACACACAAATGTGCTGAGAATGAGTTTCAAGCCACTGTGTCTGGGACTCGAACTACAGTCGACTAAGTGGGAATCCAGTGATGTAACCATTACACCATCTGCTAGTCCCAACACCTGACATGTGTTTCAAACTGTTGAAGTGGGACTCCAACTCTGGTTAGCCATAAGAGATTCAGCTTCTTCTGTACAGGGCTCAACCACAGTACTATAGGACCAGCCTCCAGGGATTCAATTACCCTGAGACATCATGACCTCTAGCACTGCACAGGAAAGGTGAGATGTCCTTCCTCCATGTCTCTAAATCACCTGTCCTCTGCCCCAGCAGGACCTGGCAGCTAGCAGGTATAACATAAATACTTGTCGCACTGGAGCTGAAATATCACACGTTGCTCCATTTGTGGGCAGTGAGATGATGCCTCTCTAAATCTGTGTGTGATGCCGCTGTGAGAAACAGCCTTTCTCTGCCAGACGCCAGTGCTCCCATCCCCCAGGCTATACGTGACAGACAAATCATGTACTGTAGGCTCTTGGGTTCCTCAGGAGTCATTTCCACAGGACCAGTCATTGTTATACTGCAGGCCATATCCTCTGAGGTCTGAATTAAATTCATCTAAATCGGAGCTGAATACTGGGGTGGTTACATACTGCAGATACCTGCTGAGCTCATGCGAGGGTCCAAACTCTGTGTTAAGCGCTTTTTATAGAGCATCACAATCTTCCCAGTGCTGGTTTGTGGTTAGTAACTTCTTATTTTCCCCTATTTTATTCACAAGCAACTGAGCAAAGAGAAGTTGGACTTGCCTGAGTTCACAGTAAGTAGCAAGGCCCCGTTTCAGATCTAGATGTCAGCAGCCCTGCTCAGTCCTGTAGTCTCTCCTTCTCCTCTCCCCTTTCCCCCTTTTCTTCTCCCTCCCTCACCTCCCTTTCTCTCCCACTCTCTTCCTCTGTTACTCCTCCCTTCCCTTCCTCTCTCTCTCTCTCTCTCTCTCAAGGTTTTTGTGACAGGGCTCCTGCAGTAACCAGAGGAAGGCAATGAAGGGGAAACTGAGAAATTATCCTTCTCCCCCCCACCACGAAAGATGGCCATGCAATCCCATCTCCTCCATTGTCTTCCTGGGATTTTAAGTAAACACAAGTGCCCAGTGTGATTTTCAAGCTGCCAGCTTTGAGACTTGATTCACTGTCCACCACGTTGTAGGTCAGAGCCTTTACCACCATCCTACCTGCTGGCCTCAGCCTTTCCTTCCTTGCTTTCTATACACACACTTTATGGAGGTATATTTTTCATTTTATTTAACTCACTTACTTTAAGTGGGCAATTCAATTTGTGCCACCATCACCATTAAGCAGGGATTTTTTTTTTTTCATTTTTTTTTAGAGGTTTTTGCTATAGGGCCTGTGCGCTTGCCAGACAGACAGAGAGAGACAGAGAGACAGAAAGCGAGAAATCACCCCCCAGGGGAGATGACCATGCTGCAATCCCTTCTCCTCCTTTCTCCTCTTGGGATCTTGGGCACACACGCACACGCGCCCGGCGTGAGTTTTAAGCCACCGGGTCAGGGACTTGAACAGCGGTCGACTACATGGGAGTCCAGCAACATAGCCATTACGTTAAGTGCTGTTCCTAAGCAGGGATTTTTTGTTCTTATTAAATTTTGCCAGAGAGCATGTGTGCTCACTAGACAGAGACAGAGAGAAGGAAAGCAAGAATGCACCTCTCAACTCCTCCCTCATGGGGCATGGTCATGCTGCAATCGCTTCTCTTCCATTTCTCATTTTCAAGATTTGGGGTATGTAAGAACATGTGCCTAGCATATTTCTCAATCTGCCAGTCTGGGGCTTGGAACGTAATGTTGGCAATGTGAATGCAACCACTTCAACCACAATGCTCTCCAAAACATTTTCAAACATCCCTCTTGATTTTCACAACAAGCCTGTGAAACAAAATGAGAAGAAAATAAATCAAGACTCAAATGTTTCACAAGGTAACGTGGCAGTAGATTAGGGAGCTGGGACGAGGTCCTAAGGCTCATTTTCTAAGCTTGTACCACAATGCCACACAGTGCCTTGGGATCCTATACTACTACTGAGGGTGGTAAAGAGTGCCTTAGGATCTTTGTGCCTTTAAAACTTTGTCAAGCAACTGCCTATAGGTAAGCTTGTGTCGGCTACCGAGGACATCTTTTAAAATAATGTGCTCGTTTTAAGATTATATACTAATATGCTTTCATTAAAAATTCCACTAACGGGGCCAGCAGGTAACAAAGGGGCTAAGGTGCTGGACTATTACATTGTCAACAGCAGTTCAAGTCTCAAACCTTGGTGGCTTGAAAATCGCACTTGGTGCATGTGTGTGTATCCCAAAATCCTGAGAGGAGAAAGGGTACGAGATTGTGGTGTGGCCATTTCCCCTGGGAGGTGATTTCTCACTTTTCCCTTCTTTGTCTCTCTCTGGTGAGCGCACACATCCTGTAACAAAAACAAAACAAACAAAAATCCCACTAGAAATTGGGGAAAACTGACAGTAAAAAGAAATTAACATAAAACACTGATATACTAGATCCTGAGTTAAAATGTCACCACCCACCCCAATCTGAGTTAGACACATAAGGGGACGCTAATGGGAATCTTTAGCTCATGCTATCGTAACTGTTTTTGAATCTGTCTTTCTGACTTGAGTTTGTTTTTGAGATTTTCCCTATTGGGTGCATGCGCTCAATGAAGAGACAAAGAGAGACAAAGAGACAGAAAGCGAGAAATCACCTCTTGGGGAGATGGCCACACTATAATCCCTTCTTCTCCATTCTCCTCTTGGGATTTTGGACATGGATGCACATGCATCTAGCGTGAGTCTTAAGCCACTGGGTCCGGGACTCGAATTATGGCTGACTACATGGGAGTCCAGTAACGTAACCATTACGCCATCTGCTTGTCCCCGACTTAAGTGTTATTACCTTTCTTCTCACAAAGAGAAAAGTGGATATGACAAAATATCAATAGTTGAACAGATACTCAGTTGTCAGCAAAGTCACGATGGATTTTTGCATAGAAAAACACAGCCTGGCTTCCCTGACACCTAATAGATACTAACCTCATTTTACATATGACGAAAGTTAGGTTCATTGAAGAACTTATCCAAGGTGGAGCCAGAATTCAAACCACCTGATCACAAATGTTCACTTTATTCCTACAAGCTGTTTCCAGTCCACAACAAAATACTGTTAGTTCCATTAATTTAGGATTTCTTTACACAGCACAGCATTAGACTTGAGTATTTCACTTTAATTACAGAAGTCAAGGATTTACTTAGAATATGACTTCTTTATATTTATGAAACACTCTTAACTCTCTTCTTCACTGTTCCTTGGAGTCTTATAACTAACTACACATAGATGTGGCTTAGGTAGACTCCATTTTCCTGTTGAAGCCAAAGGTGTGGAGAAGACCAGTGAAGTCTTGAAGTATCAGGCAGAGATGGGATAAGAAATACCCATCTACTCACTAGCTTGCTGCCTTTGGTTGCCTTTAACAAGTTACTTATCATTTAATATGGAGAATATCACTCTCCAGGGCCCCTAACATAAAATATTCAATTATTTATTTTTAACTGACAGAGAACACATCCATTTGCCAGAAAGATGGAAAGAGCGCACGTGATTGAGCACCCCCAAGGGGGCATGGTCACACTGCAATCCTTTCTCCTCCATTTGTCCATCCTGTTGGGAGTTTGGACACACACGTATGCACACATGCCCAGTGTTTTTCAAGTCACAAGGGGTAGGATTCAAATCTCAGTCAGACATATAAGATCCAGCTCTTAACCACTAGGCTCTGGGGCCAACTCTCAGTTACCAGTTTTTGAGGCTGTTTTCTGACTGCAAAGGCAGATGCCATTACTTATTTTTCTT